ACAAACAGTTGCTTTGGACCTTTCTTCCATTCTTTGTTATGGTGGTCGGTGTTTGATTTCTGACAGCTGCCGGCGGGTTCAATTTGGGGGGTTGAATTTGTTTTGAGAATTAGATAAGTTTGAGGGACCTAATTGCAACTTTATAAATTCTAATTATATTACAATTGTGTTTATAGGTCAAATTTGTAATTTATAAAAATAATTTAAAATATTTTTTGTACATATATTTTTATACACGTTTATTATGTATTTTAAACTAAAAAAAATATCATAAATATTAAATTAACATATTCAAATATTGAATATAATTTTATAACATGAATAATAAATTATTTTGATAATTTAAATTGCACATTATAATATATAATAAATATATTATATTTTTAACTAAAAATAATATAAATATTAAATAAAAAAAATTACAATAATAAATATATTTTTTATAAAAAAATAGTTGCAATTCGAGGGCACATTAATGTTAGAAGTATCGCACATTAGCAATCATCAGATTGCACTATATCCGCCGAAACAATCATAGGTTTGAATTTTATATTTTGGGTAGATTATCTGTTTTTTACTTTTAAAATTTTAGTTTCTTTATTGTTTAAAATAGATGAAACTACCGAACTATATAAAAAAAATATTATCTTGTTATATATATATATATATATATATTAGGTCTTTACAACCGAAAATAATATAAAATATAAGTAAAAATTTTAAAATACTAAATATATTTTTATAATATAAACTATAAGTTATTAGACTATGTAGGTTAATTCAGTTAACCGATCAAATAAACCAATTCTTTAGATTTTAATCTGGTTTGGGACAAATCATTAAAAAATAAGTTCACTTAGAGTGCACATTAATGTTAGATCGGTTGCACATTAGTGACTGTCAGATTGCACTATAGAGACAAGATTTTTAAAAATAAGTACATTGACACGCTATTTAGTATATTTTTTACTTTTAAACTTTTGATTAATTTTTAAAACAACTTAACTAACAGATTCGATGAAGCTATATAAAAATATTACATTTGTTATTATATGTATATATTGTCTTTTATGCAACAATAATATAATCGATTAAAAAATCATTTAAATACTCAATATATTCTAAATAGTATAAATTATGAATTATTTCAAATCCTTAGGTTAATTCGATTAACCGATCAAATAAACCGGTTATTTTATTATTAGTTTGGGTTGCGACAAATCAGTAAAAAAATAACTTAATTTCGCACAATAGTGTTAAACAGATTGCACATTAGTGATTGTAGGTTGCACCATAGCAACCAAGACCCACCGACTAAGTTTTGTGTCCAAAATTTATATTTTGGTTTGATTATTTGTTTCACTTTTAAAATTTTTTGGTTATTCCGATTCGATAACAATTTTTTTTATTTTCTTTAAATAACCTAATTGATCGAACTATAAAAAAATATTATTTTTTATTTATATATTTTATATCTCTACAACAATAAAAAATAGATAAATATTAAATTTGTATTTTTATAATATAAACTATAATTTGGTTCAATTAATTATATTAATTCGGTTAACCGGTTACATAAAACATATGTTTCTTTCTTTACTTGTTTTATTTGGGCAAATCAAAAAAAAAAAAAAAAAAATGAATCTGCTATTAGTGCACAATAATGTTAGATGGATTGCATATTAATGCCTATGAGATTGCACATTAACGACTACCAAACTGCACCTTAAAATCTCAAATCGATCGAACTAAAATTTTCGGTTAAAACTTTTATATTTCGGTTCAGTTATCTATTTTTACTTTTAAAATCACAGTTATTTCAATTTGATGTCTTTTTTTTTTTAAATATCCAATATGCACGAACTATTTTAAAAATATTATAATAATTATTATTATTATTTATATATTGCTTTGATGAACATTACAATTATAATAATTGAACATAAATGATCATCAGATTGCACAATATCGAACGAACGCGACCAAACTAAAATTTTCGGTTTGCAATTTTATAATTTGGTTCAATTATTTATGTTTTAATTAAAAAAATCGATTATTTTAGTTCAATTATGATTTTTTTTTTTTTAAATTAAACAATCGAATGACTAAACTATATTAAAAATATTAAAATATTTTTTTATGTAAACATATTATTTATTTTCAATCAATAAATATAAAAAAAATATTAAATTACTAATTATATTTCAACTAATTACGAATTTCTATAAATTAAATTGTAATATATTAAAAGTTATAAAATTGCGATTAGGTCCCTTTCTATTATCAAAATTTCAAAACAAAGCCTAATGTTAATCTAATTTATCATAATAACACAACAAATCAGATTTCAAATTCTAAAATCACGATTTTCAGCAACATAAAGTTCCAAAAGAAATAACACATCTTAAGCAGCAGAAACGTGAAATTTCCAAGTCTAATTCTCAAGCCGCAATAACACATCTTAAGCCGCAGAAATTTTCAAATCTAATTCTCAATAATAACACTACAAATCAGATTTCACATTATAAAATCCACATCTTAAGCCGCAGAAACGCCGGGACTCTAGAGAATACCAGATCGCCGTTGAAGCTGAGGCCGACAGCCAATATTAGCCCCGTCGGCAGCGGCCTGGAGGTGCGGCGGCCTGTGTCGGGGAGGAAGGGGATAATAAATCTCGAGCGCCGCCGGGTTCGGCCTGGTTGTCGGACGAGACGTGATAGTAGATATGGCAGACCTGGTCGGGGTGGATCAATTGGAGGCCGTGTGGTGGCGACGGACGGACGTCGGCGGTCGGAACCCAACAATATGCAGATGGTGTTGTCCGATGGCGTCTGAAGTGGTGTGCATCCGGCAGGCGGTGGTGGTATTTGTCCGACAGACGGCATGCGGCGGGCGATGACGGCGGACTGCGGTTGAGGTGGTGGTGACCTATGTAAATCTGTGAGTGTACGTGAGGAGTGAGAGAGTGTATGTGAGTGTGTGTGTGTGTGTGTGAGAGAGAGAGAGAGAGAGAGAGAGAGAGAGAGAGAGAGAGAGAGAGAGAGGGTGGTTGGTGGGTGGGTAGGTGATTGACGGGCTGGGGTATGGGTAGGTGATTGGTTTTAATGTGGGAGGTGGTGGGCCCTACATGTGTATTTTGAACAAATGTCTAAATTACCTTTAATTATTGGTCAATATACATAATTGACTACAATATAATTAAATAATTACTAAATTGCCATTAATGATTGACCCTAGTTTGACCTCATCATGACCATTAATATAATTGATTTAATGGTATAGATTTATTCTTATTTCTTTCCCTATCTATCATTCTCATATGATCCCAACCCTATATATATATATATATATATAGAAATGATTTGGGATTTTATTTCAAACTTAGATTTAAGGAAAAAAATAAAGACGCAAAAATTCAAAACTATATTTAATGTTGCCTTTTTTTCTATTAACATTTATAGTATGTATTTAATGTTTTTTGGCAAAAAAATTCTTTCTAAATGTGACTAAAATATTATATGTGTTAATATTCCAACCAAACTAAAATTAGTAGTTAGACATTATAGGTTTATATTAGCATTTTTTAAAAAAAAAAAAAATTAAAAAAAGTGGTTACCGTAAATAAGGAATTTATATTAGTATTTAGACATTAGTGAATTAGTTTTTATATTAGTAACTATAAATTAGTGAATTAATTTTTATTTGGAAATATGTAAGCTTGTCGAGATTTATGCACAGGGTTGATTTATCAGTTTAACAATTAACAAATGCAAATTAATACATTTATTTAAGGAATTGAATTTTAGATTGAAGTAGAGATCATCATCACATTTGAAGAAGAGATTTTTAAATTTTAAATTAAATAAAATCCTTCATTTAAGGAATGTTTGAAAAAAACCTTCCAACATTAGCTGCCATTTTAAGATTTGAAAATGATAAAACCCACCATTTACGGGAGAAGTAAATGCTGCTCGATTTTATGGTTAAAAAAAAATAAAATAAGAAATAATAAAAAAAATTAAGTAGCATGCAATTAATTTTGGTGAATTTTTTTACTTAATACTTCTAGTAAATAGTTATTGTGTTCATTCGTCCTCTTCGTCGCAAGGTATCTTACTTAGAGACCTAGATATATAGATTATAGATTATTTATAAAGTAAAATTACATTAGACGTTAAAAAGAGATTAGTGCCTTAGTTAAATTCTCTCTCGTTCGTAAAATCTGAGACTTCACACACCCTAAAGTTCATAAGACGAAAAGAGATTTTTGTCGGCTCTTCTCCACCTGGGGCTGTAGTCTGTTCCACCAATTTGCTGTAGCCCAAATCCAACTTCCATTAAGAGATTTTGCCTTATCGTCATATTACGTACGAATGAAAATTGGAAGTGGGCTGGATATCTAATAAAAGACGGAGAGAATACAGTGCACCGCATGTGCAGTGTAAAAATACACGACACGACCTAAGAGCGTTTGGATGAGATGGCTTGGGTCTCTTCCAGCATAACCAGTGGTCTCGTGTTCGAGTCCTGGGAATGCAGCAGTGTTAAAACTCTTGAGGGAGAGCTTTGCCGCCCTTGTGGTCCTACCCGGCTCGATTCCGGATTAGTCGGT